GGCACTCAGCTGTTTCTCCAGCTCCTTCCTGGCGCTCTCGGCGTCCGTGAGTCTAGCTGCGAGGTCTGCTTTTGCAGCCGTCAGGCTCTGGAGTGAGCTCTGGATTTCCTGGAAGGATCTCTGATCCTCCTCTCTCCTCTTGTCCTGGAGCTCCAGGCACTCCTTCAGCCTCATGTTCTCCTCTCCCATCCGAATCTGTGAGGAGATCTGCTTCTGGGCCTCCTCTTCCAGACCTCTCGCACTCTCCCGTGCCTCTCGGAGCTCCAGTTCAGCAGTGAGAAGACGGGAGCGAGCCTGAGCCAGATCCAGCTCACCGCGCCGAACGTCCTCCTCCCGCTGAGCCAGACACCCGAGGGCATCAGCTAGCTGCCGCCGAGCGTTCTCTGCCTGCTGGCCCAGAACACCTCCTCGGACCTTGCTCTGGAGGACAGACGAGAGCGACTTCACTTGAGGAGCAGGATGAGGTGCTCCAATAGCTTCCTTTTCATTCTCAGACTAAAGGAATTACCCATTTGTCTTTCTCCACCTCGTGTCTGCTGTCCTCCTTCAGGAGCTGGAGCTGGCGTTCCAGTTTCTTACACTTGGTCTTCCACTGCCTGATGGCCTCCTGAGCTTTAGAGCGCACCTCCTCTCTCCTCGTCTCGCTCTCAGTCAGCTGGGCCTTCAGACGGGCGCACTCCACACCACTGTCCTCCGATCGAGACTGGAGCTCCTTCAGCTGGGACAACATCTGCATTTGCTGCTCCTCGCGCTGCTCCAGATCTGCAGAGAGAGCCTGAGAGGACAGAGATACCTGGCGTTAAGTGGAGCTGATGATCTCAGACGCGTCGTAGACGCTAGGGACGGGGACTAAGCGAATGCTCCAGGAGTTGCTCGGGCTCCTGAACAGCAGAACAATGGTCAAACACACAAACCTCAACCTGGAGAGTGAGCTGAGCTTTCTCCCTCTCTTTCCGATCTATGCTCCTCTTCAGCTGCTCCGCTTCAGAAGTCCTCCCCATCTGCGCTCCCGGCTCTCCATCCTCTGCTTCCAGCACAGCGGGTCCTGAGAGCATCAGAGAACGCCGAGCTTCATCCACAATCTCTCTACGGTGAACAAAGAATGATCTGCTACCAGTGTGACGCCGTCTCCCTGCGCTTCTCTGCTCAGACATCTCCCTCTGCAGATCCATGTGCTCCTTCTCGACCCGCAGGAGCTGGGAGCGCATTTCATTCATCTGTGGAACAAGGAGACTCCCATGTTTAGAAATCGACAAACACTGGAGAGCCGCGACAGATCCAGCAGAAGAGGAACACAAGCAAAACATCTGCAGCTTCTTTTTAACCAGCTTTAGGTGAAACCAATAAAATATGAATTTGTCACCTGCTGGAGAACAGCATCTCTTCCATCGTCTGAGCGTTTGAGCTGCTTCCTGACGCTCTCCAGCTCCTGCAGCATCTGCAGAACACACGAAGACGTGTGAGACACGAAGAGATCCAGCCGTGAACATCGGAGCAGATGCCAGCAGCTACGCTCTTCGACAGCAGAAGATTCTCAGAAATGATGAGGTGTGAGCATCACCTTGCTTCTCTCGTCCTCAGACTCCTGCAGTCTTTCTCTGATGGTCTGATGTTCCTCCAAGAGCGGGTCCTCGTGTCTCCTCAAAGCCTGCATGCAATCCCAAACATCAGGAACATCAGGAACTGTCCATCAGAAAAATGAGAGCCGGGAGCATGTTCCCAGATGTCTGGCTCCAGGGCTCTCTCCGATGAGGATTCTCTTGTAAAGAGGGAACGTTGTACTTTTTTTTTGTCCAATCAGAATCATGCCTTGCTCTGCCAATCGAAACCAGCCGTGACTGCATTCATTTCCTCCTTATGTCTGAATGCGCTGGCACAGGAAAATGTCTGCATCCCTCTGATTGGTTAATCTCTTTAACACATCCGCGATGGCTGACTGAGCAAGAAACCGGAGGCAAGAGCAGTACGTCTCCGTCACATCTCTGGTGATTTTATTTACAGCTTGTATGTTTTTGTCATGTTATTAGTGATGAGTGATCATTCTGAACTGTACTGTGTGCGCGTGTGTGTGTGTGTGTGTGCGTGCGCGCGATGCCTTCCGTGAATTCACCAGCAAAGCATGAAATGCATCTCTCTGTTCCTGTTTACATCTTTGTTTTTATAAGAATGTAAATTATGATCAATAACTTTCAAGTAAAAAAAATAAAGTTCAATATCTTCCCAGGAAACCTGTTGCAGGACCAAGTTGTTCACCCTAAAAAGGTAGGAATTGATTGTGGAATTGTCTAGAAATCTTCTATATTTACGCTTATAATGCAGTAAACCTGAAGCACCTAAAGATCTCATCCTAGAGTCTCAGCTGGGTCAGAACATCTGGGGGGAAAGTTTTGGCACCCCCACTAGAAGCCTTGTTCTTGTTGGATCAGCCGATGGCACGTGAAATATCTGAGATGTTTGTTCTGAGCTCTGATTCTCATAATGCCACAACAAACGCTGAACTTCTCAGGGCCCCGGGCACCAGTGGTGGAGAGGGGTCTCCTGGCTGTCGCTCAGATGCAGGCGGATGGTGCCCCCTGCTGGTAGCGGAGCTACATGAAGCCCAACAGAAGGGGAACGAGTCACAGCTGCTGATTTTTACTGTTTCCGTGAGTGGAACGTTCATTTTTTGTCTACGTCTCTCTCCGGAGAAAACCTTTCTGTCGCAGAAATTTTATTATATTATAAAACACTGAATTTAAAAACGTATCTGCTGTTTACTTGCATTTAATTCTAGCTGAGTCTTACCCCAGGTAATATGGCGGACATCCGTACAACAGTCTGGCCTGGGTGATCTATTTAGATTTTATTAATAATGTCTATGATGACCAAATGGGAAAACCAAACAGGAAGTTAGTTTTGTGGCTTTCCTTTTAGATCACAGAAAGCATGAAAAAATAACACAATAGTTTTTTTTTTTTATTGAAATTTGAGTTCCATGCTGTTTTTGATTTGAATATTTAGAATAAAAAGTTTACGGTTTGCTTCTAATTGTTGGACAGACAGACAGACAGACAGACAGACAGACAGACGGTACCTCCTGCAGGTCTGCAGAGATGCTCTGTGCTTTCTCAGTGTGCCGTCTGTCCGTCTCTCTGGGGCGCATCCTCTCCTCGATGTTCTGCAGGCGTCGCTCCACCCGTAACGAGACCTGAGACACATCACACGAGTCAGAGCTTCAGTCTGCTCCAGCAGGAGAACGTTCACCATGTCAGCGTCTCCAAAAAGTTCCCGAAACGATTGTCTGGGACCGGTGGAAAGGGATCCATTTCAGAGTTGCACACTTTCAAAAACAACACTCTTTTCTTTCCAAGGCCTTTGGCACCAGAGAGTGACATTTGCTTTAAATAATTTATTGTAATTTTTATGATTTTATGGTATTCTCTCGTATCGAATCTTAGTTTTGTGCCCAAGAGCGAGAGAGAGCGAGAGAGAGAGAGAGAGAGAGAGAGAGATGTTTGATTGATTGATTGATTGATTGATTGATTGATTGATTGATTTCTAATAATGTGGTGGAAGGCTTTTGGTGAGATGTAATCGCCGGATATCAAAATAAATCTTTGAGCCCTTGTTGATACTGAATAACAGCATCTTACGGCATCTTCTCGCGGTGATGCAAGCGCGCGGCCCGCGAGGCTCTCCAGCATCTTCTTCGTTTCCGTCTCGGCGCTGCGGTGGAACAGAAAGCACGAGCTCAGGCTTCACGAGAGAGATGGGCCAGTGAGAAGAACGCTTGGTTTACCGGTTTCTCCTGCTGATCTCTCTGTCGATGTCGTCTCCCATCCGCAGCTGGTCACTCCGCAGGTCTCTGACGGACTGATGCAGAGAGTGAATCTGAGGAACCAAGAGGTTACGAGTGTGTGAGGCACCTTTGAAGCTCTTGAACGTCACAAACAGTTAAAAGCCGACGAAGATCCAGAAACTTGTTCCATCACGGTCACATCTGAATAACGTAAGTGATGGCAGCAGGGCTCTCCAACCTCGAAGTGGCTACTGACGTAAAAGACGACTCTTATACGAAAATATTTGGGAGGATGCACAAGCTCCAGAAAGAAACAGAAAGCCGGAAGTGAAACGCAGGGAGCTTTTGTTCGGCGCTGCCACAGACCAACACATGACGCGTCTCCAGAGCGACTCAAGCAAACATCTCGTCTCTGCTCCTCACCTGCTCTTCAGCCTGAGCGCAGTCTCTGAAGCGCACCGCAGCAGAGCAGGAGCGCCGTCTGAAGGCACCATCGGTGTGTCTCAGAGGGGATGTGGGGAGGTAGCGCCTCCTGTCTGGGGGATAGGAGACACCGGTGTTGCGCTCGATCGCAGCTCACAGAGACTTTACCACATCTGTGCCATCTAAACTCTGTTACCTGAGACGCTGGCATCCTCCAGGTCACTCGGGTGCAGTGTGGAGAGGGAGGAGCTCAGTCCACCGACAGACCTCCGCCGCTGTCCTCTCAGATGCTGGATGGACTCCTCCAGGCTCTCCCTGAGCTGGAACACAGCAGATGCTCTCAAAACAACAGCCTTATCTGAAATCAGACACAGATCCCTGAACCTCCTGCCACCAGAACCCACCGTCTCCATGGCGTCCGCCTGGTCGTCCGCATGCTCTTTGTACTGCCCCAACATCCGATCCACTTTGTTTAGATTTCGGCTGGTATCCTGCAGAAGAAGCACATGCTAGCAGGAGAAAACATCTCGACTGTGCGGAGAGTTCCGGTGAACGCAGACGCTTCCTTTACCTGCAGGGTGTTTGCTAAAGTGTCAATTTTGACTGATAAGTCCGATGCATGTTTGCCCCGTGGAGGTCTGTTACCGGCCCTCACCCGGGGGTCTCTGGCCCTGCTCCGGTGGCCCGGGGGTCTGTCAGAAGGGTCCGATTCACTGGAGGAGTCCATGGTGACGTGATGCTGGAATGAGCAAAAGGACTGATGAGATGATAAGCCCCTAATCTGAGACCACCTCGTCAGGCTTCCAGTGGCTCAGTCGGTAGAGCACTGCGCCAGCCACGCAGAGATCGTGGGTTCGAACCCCGGGTAAGCTACCACAGATCAGTTCGGGTAAAAGTGCCCTTATAAATAAATGTCCCCTTTCCCCGGGGAGGGACTATACCTTTCCGATAGTAAAGGCTCGTTTCAAATACAATCTAATGTTAGCTCGTTAGCTTGCGGCTCATTGTTTAGCTTCTTTAAATGTTAAATACATCTGTTTTCCACTAAACCGAAGCGAGTAACAATGAATCCGGAGAGAGAAACGCACCCGTACCGGGAATCAAAACGCGGTGGCGGTTATTTCTCGAAGCCGCTGAAGACATCGACATCCTGCGCCATGGCAACTTGAACTAGCCGCCTAACCGGAAACAACAAACGCAGAGGATCATGGGAGCTGAAGTTTTCCATCCTTTCGGAGCCATAGTTACGAAACTTAACAACTATAACGGCATGTTGTGTTTTGGTGATTTCATATAGAATTATATTCTGTAAAAATAACAAAACCAACGGCTAATATATGCCGAAATCAATTGAGCAGTGAGCTTTGCTTAGTTTTTACAGGTTAAAAAGCACACATTAACTGAAAAAATTATCACAGAAAACAGGCTAAATTATGACTTTAAGATTGATAAAGTCAGATGTTTACACAGTTGCTTTTAAACTCATTGTACATCAAAGGAGAAAAATTGACAAACTAGTAAAATAATATTTACATTTTATGCATCTGGCATTTTATCCAAAGCGACTTGGATTTGATTGATTGAACACATTTTTTGTCATTTCTTGGCATTTGAACCCATAACCTTTGCGTTGTTAGCGCAATGCTCCCCCAACCAGAGGAAAGCTGCATCAGATCATTTATAAGACAAGAAATGAACCAGACATTTATTTAGAGAGCTGCTTTACGATCATGTTAAAGGGTAATAATGATCATTTTCGGCGCAGGTTTGCTTGACTGTGATTCGGGAGTTGTTGTGTATTTCAAGAGATTAATGAACTCGGGTAATGAGTGATGTGGTCGGGCATCTTTCGTCCCGTTCAGCCCCTCAGTTCCCATAGCAACCGCAAGGGCGCCTCAGCAGACCGCCTCAGAGAGTTTCAGAAGCGCTTTTCAGGGCTTGAATCGGCCGAGAGCCGGCAGTTGCGCGGACGGAAGAGCGAGACTCAGCCGCGGGTTGTCTCATGGCGTTCGTGGAGCTGCTGCTGCTGCTGCTGCTTCTGTCTCTGGAGAGGGTGATGGGGCAGACGCAGGGATGCCCTCCGGGCTGCGAGTGCTCCCAGTGGAAAGCCTTTGCTGTTTCCTGCGTGGCCATCGATGCCATTCCGTCCGTCCCAGTGGGAACAGAAATCCTGTGAGTGTTGCTGACTTTAAGATGTTAGATGTGTGCTATAGCTGTGTGTGTTTCAGGACAAACATATTCCGTTTATTCAGATTTTACCAAAGTTAAAAAAAGTTCAGTTTGTGTTCTCACGAATAGAGTTCACGGAGTAAAACTTCATCCAGCGATAATCCCGGTGATCATAATGTCTGTGCTAAACTTTATTTGAGAAACATTCATATGATGACAATCCTTTGTTATTTTTTTACTAAATGATCATTTAACCGACGACTCACTACAAAACTCCATTTATGCCTTGCTCTAAGAAAAGAGTATTAGAGCTGAATTAGAAAATGTATAAGAAATAAAACGAGTTAGAAATTATTTAAAATTGGAACTAAATGAAAAACCATGTCACTAGTTAACTATACTAAACGATTTTATCTAAAGGGTTTTTATGCTGTTTTCAAAGCTTTTATAATAAACTATAAATTATATAAACTATATGGTTTATTTATAAATTAAAGTTTGCAATATTTATCAAAAGCAGCTTCTTTCTGCTATCTCAAAAATGTTTTTCATGGCACTCTGCTTGAGTAAAAATCTCCACAGAACAGATATAAACCAACGTTTTCTATAAAATAGCTGCCGGATCACTCAAACTCTTGAGAGTCGATCAGTTCACTCTGGCTCCGACTGTTAGTTTGAGGATTGTTAGTTGCAATCTGGTGAAAGCACAGCACTGGTCTCCAATCAGCCTCCTACAAGTCTCGGATCAGGACCGGCCTACCCTGCCTACTCACGTCAGCACAAGATTTACAGTGAGATGGATGCTCAGAGCAGCAGATAACAACATGTACAAAATAATGTGATTTACTTTTAAAAACTTCCAAATGTTCAGGGATTACTCTTTCCTCCTCCACCCCCCGATGATAAGTTTCTGTGGTGTTCCTTCATTGATGGAGCCTTTGGCATCTCAGTGGTAAAAATAAAGTGGAAAGCACTTCAGGATTCCTTTACTATAAAGCTTGTGTACTTAACAAAATATATTTGTGCAAAAACGTTCAAATTTAACGTCAAATCAATCAATCAATCAAAGTAAAAAATCAAATTTATTTCTCTCTTTCAATTAATTTAGAAGCAAATTTTGTTTGAACAACCCGTCGTTAATCAGGAAAGTATTATCTGATCACACGAACAGCAAACCGAGAATCTAAAGCAGTCAGTAGACGTTCAATCACACACCCCGGGGTCTCGAGGCTCATCACGGCTGAACACAGAAGCTCAGCTCCAGCAGCTTCAGGAGCTCTTCTCTTGTGAAGAGCGCTGGCTCATGCCATGCTCTAATCCACGCTCACTCTGCGGGTTTGTTTAGCCATCCAGGAACATTCCTCCGCTCCTTGTCTGTTCCGTCTCAATTACACAATCTATTTTTCTTCCATTTTGCCTCGTCAGCCTCCATCACATGAAATTACCAACAAATCACTGGGTCGATTGAGGTCCCCGCCCTGCTGCAGAATTCCTGTGCTGCTCGTATTGCAAGAGATGAAGCGATGGAGCCCTCGGCCCCCAACACACAACTTTCCTTTCAGCTTCAGTTTTGTGTGTGGATAAACATTCATTTGTGTGTGTGGGGGGGGGGGCATGTCATGATTTTAAAATGTAAAAAAGCCAAGTTTTAAATGGTGAAAGAAATAAAATGGTAAATTCGTTTATTAACCGTTATGATCCGCCAGCTCCTCGGTGCTGTTGAAAGCTCTGCGTAAACAGATACTTCAGGACAGCATTGAATCTTCATCAGGGGCACAACCTCGGGAAGCGTTTTACTGGTTTAATTCCTCACTCTGAGGCAGGGATTGTGCTGGGGCAGACACTGGAGCTGAGACTGTGGTTGGACTGTGTCTGTTCACTATCACAGAGTTTGTTTAATCTGTCAGGATGGTATTTTCTACCTGTTCCAGCTTTGGGAAGTAAAGTGGCTCGCTGTAACTTAGTTTCATCCAGTCCGGATTTACAGCAACAGGAAGCTCCTGCTTTAGCGTCGGTTATTGATGGTCCCAGACTCTTTTATTTTAGACCTTCACTATTTTACAGGGTACTTGTTCTTAATCTTCCCTGCTCCATCTCAAAATCTTTGTACTCTGCTGAAGAACAGATCTGTTATCGCTGCTCTTCTGCTTCTATGAATTTGATCAGGAAAGAGCTTTGGGAATTCCACTCTGTTCTTCTTGTGGAGTAGAGTCCCAGCTCTCCGAGGTAGTCTTTCCTTCAGGCTCACAGAAGACTTGTATCAAAGGCAAATGTGCTCCTGAAAAGAAGAGTTTTTAGTGGTTTATAAGAGTTTCCCCTGTTCTATTTGGATTTAGAAATGTAAGAGATGGGAAAAGTGCAGGAAAACAGTGTTTAGTTTAAGATGAATGTTTTAATCGGATCTTTTCTCCTCTAGAAGTCTCTACGAAACAAGCTTAACGAGTGTTCCACGTGATGCTTTCACAGATTTGGTCAATATCTCAAGAATGTAAGTAAAATATATTTGTAAAAGTATACAAAGCTGAAGGGTTTTGCAGAACGAATCACTGCCAGAGCTGTGCTCAGTCTGTTTCTCTTTGTTACAAAACTCTTGGAGGCCTGCTGACACAAACACCTCAACGTAAAGGACCGTATGAAGAGTCTCTGAGGCTGTCGATTGTAGTCGTGACGTGACGCAGCAGCTCAGAGAAAGACTTTTAAGAGTGTTACTGCATTGAATCAGGATTGTAGTGATGCTTTCTCCTCGCCTCATTCAGATATCTGTCTGTCGACGTCTCGCTCAGCAAGTTAGAAATGAAGTCCTTCTGTAACCTGCCGAAGCTTACTCATGTGTAAGTCAAAGCTTAACGCTTTTGTGTGTAAGTTAAGTTTGAACAGCTCTCGTTATCCCTGGAATTCAGATACACCCCCCCCCTCTCTCTCTCTGTCCAAGCTTTTAAAACTGCACTGAAATGTTGTGTTCACAAACCCTTTCTTGTTTCAGCGAAATAAGGAACACACGGAACCTGACTTTCATCCATCCACAGGCCTTTCAGAATCTCCATAGATTGCAGTATCTGTAAGTGCAGTGGTATCCTTCTCTTAGTTTTAAACTACGCAGCAAAATAACCTCAAAAAAACGTTTTCCACAAACTCACTTTAAAGAAAGCTCACCAATGTGTTTTGTTTAGATCTCGTGAAAGATCCCCCAAACCATCTTTGTTTAAATAAACTTCTGTTTCCAGGGGTTTATTCAACACGGGCCTCACCATCTTCCCTGAGCTGATGCACCTCCAGTCAGAGGAGTCGTACTTCCTGCTGTGAGCAGCACCTGACACGGCGCGTATTCACTGTACAAGCCTTTTATTCACGTTTCCCTCTCTGTTTCTGCTTCTCCTGCAGAGAAATCAGCGATAATCCCTATATTGCTGAAATTCCTGCTAATGCTTTTCTTGGCATCACCAGTGATCTGCTCTCCGTGTAAGTCTCGTTCGCGTCCCCGAAAAACAACAAGCAAAGGTTTTGAGCTGCAGTTCCACTTCCTCCATTTATGTGCAGATATGTAATAGTTCTTTCGGAAGGATTATAACGATCAAATGGAAATAAACCCTTTTACCAGCAGACTGTAATGATGCTGTAGTACCTCATGCAATTAAAGCAGCAGAATACGAGCACTCGAGAGTTCCTCCTGGAGAGGCTCTTTGATCTTCAGAACGTATATCTG